GAGCTTGTGGTCTGAGCCTGGGGCTAGGATTGTTTCTACCTCCTAGACCAAGAAAAGACCCCAGATCTCCTCCAGGCTTTCAGACCTGATTGTCTACTGCTGTTCCTCCCATTTAAATGCCATGGACCTGCCTGGGATCCAACCCCAGCCCTGCCGGGTCCCTTCTCTCAGTGAGCGCAAAGCCAGGAAATTCATCAAGGAAGCTGGTAGGAGTCCAAGGAATGGGGAAGACTGTTGGGAAAGAGCACAGGGGGAGATTTTGGGGGCTGTGAGGGGCCCCTGACTAGGTAGACCTAGGGAGGAGACCCAGGAAAGGGGGTTGTGAAGACCAGGGGAGTGGGCACAGAGAGAGCATCTCCAGGGAGGGCACTCAGGGGCTAGGGGTAGGGTACAACTGGGAAGTTGGAGAGACAGAAGCCAAGTATTTATGGAGCACTTGACAGGTTCTAGGCACTCAATGTTTTACAGAAGTCTGAGATATAGGCTCTGCCTTCATGGAATGTGACAATCTATCTACACGTTAACAAAACATCAAAGCAATATTGCCAAAGGGTTAGTATAGACAAAATATTCAAGGCTATCTAATGGAAGGAGAGGTTGATATGGGCTGGGGTGGTCAAGCTTTGAAGAATGGGTAGGATGGATGAGGAAATCGCCAGAAGATACCTCCACAGGGAGTACTGGGTGCCTGGGTAATCCTTTCCAGCTCAGGCTGAGAGTGGCTGGAGTGGGCAGATTTCTGACCTGGGTGTGAGATCCCCCAATCCAGGCGTCCACCATATTCATTGCTCCTGGGGTGGTGGGTACTATCTGAGGTAGTGATGGGAGGAGCGGGGGGAGGGGGATAGAGGGTGAGTAGGACAGGGGGAGTTGGAGCCCTACGATTGACCCTCTCATCTTGCCCAGGAAACCACTTTGTCCGACATAATACTGACCAGCTCTGCAGAGTCTATCCACTGGGGCTCAGGATGACCTCTGCCAATTATAACCCCCAGGAGATGTGGAATGGGGGCTGCCAGCTGGGTAAGCTACAGGGGATGGAGGGCACATGGACATCCTAGATGTATGGTAGGTGAGGGCACAGGAAGTAGGATCATCTAAGTAGGGGGAGAGGGCATGTGGGAAGGATGAAGGGCACCATTGTGCCAATAGGAAAAGCTTTAATTAGGGAAGCTGGTGACTGAAGGGCACAGATGGGTGCCAGGGGAGCATGGGGAGGTTGGTATCTGGGTATAGGGGGTACCAGGAGAGACACATGGGAAATAAACAACTGACTGGAATTAAAGGCGTGTGTGTGTGTGTGTGTGTGTGTGTGTGTGTGTGTGTGTGTGAGACCAGATATAACCCAGTAGAGCTGAGGGATTGGGGAGAGTGGACATTAATGCTGGTTAGGACCCAGGCTTGACTCCCAGCCCCATACCTGTGGTACTTTGCGTCCACCCTACTTCCCCTTTCACCTTAACTGGACTTTCTCTCTCTTTTCCCTAGCCTCACCCTGCCTGTCTCTTCTGGCACTGACTCAGCTTAGGGCAGTATATGGTGCTCTGGGTGGGATGGATAGTGTCACCTGCTGGTGCCTCTGAGGTTTGAGCCTTGTTAGAAGGGGGACCTTGGGAGAAGGGGGTGGAAGAGGAAGGAATTGTGGGAGGTCTGAGTAGCAAGCATACTGCAGGGGGGAGGGAAAGTGAGCAACCAGCAGGACAAAGATTCACACATTAGCTTACCCAGGATCTATGCATTGCTTTGAGATCCCCTGAATTCAGTTCAATAAACAAGCATTTATGTAGCCCCTGTTATGTGGTAGATACCAGGGACAGATGAAAAAGGCAAAAACCAAGAAAACAAATCAAAAACAGACAGAAGAGGTGAAGGCAGATCTGGACCCTTGGCCCTGCCTGTCTGAGGCTCCCTCTACCCCAATCCATTTCTCCCACAGTGGCCTTGAACTTCCAGACTCCTGGGTATGAGATGGATCTGAACAACGGCCGCTTCCTGGTGAATGGGAAATGCGGTTATGTCCTGAAACCTGCCTTCCTGCGGCAAAGAGACACAACCTTCGACCCTGAACGCCCTGGGCCCCCCCAGACCACCCTCATTATCAAGGTCGGCACCGCAGACAAAACCTCGTGCCAGGAGGCGCTAGCTTGACTAGCTTTTTGTCTTTGGGGGCTGGTGGTGGATGGGAGTGAGAAAGAAACCACCCCATGGCAGCAGAAGCAGACTCTTCCAGCGGAAGGCAGCTCTAGACATTCAGGGTTAAGACAATCAGAAGGGACTAGAGGGGCTGAAGCTGGGTGTGGTGAGGAATGGAATGTTTTTAGAGGAGAGAAATGTGCCAGAAGATTGAGGAGGAGGGGAGAAGAACGGGGGTTAAGGAGAGGCTTTGCAAGGGCCTGGAAGGAGGAAAAGGTGAGGCGTGGGCAAGCAGGGGCAGGCATGCTTTGCCAATGTGAAATGGAGACAAAACCAGAAGCCCGGGGAAGCTTGGGAGAGGAGGGGAGATACAGGGTTGGTGGGGGCCTGACCAATGCCAATGCCAATGCCAATGTCAGCTTGAGCAGGTCTCCTAGTGAGGGTGATTGGGATTGGTTCTGAATTCCAGGACCCAAAGAGGGAAGAGGCTGGTGTGGAGCCCCCCATTATGTTCTCCCCTTTCCCTGATCAGGTGCTAACAGCTCAGCAATTGCCCAAATTGAACAGAGAGAAGCCAAACTCTATCGTGGACCCGCTGGTTCGGGTGGAGATCTATGGGGTACCCAGGGACTGCGCCCAGAAAGAGACTAACTATGTGCTCAACAATGGTGTGTGCAGACGATGGGAGAGGGATTTAGAGGGCTGGGCATACCATCGGATTGGGGGCCAGGAGCATGGGGAAGGAGGCAGGGCAGGAGACAGTGGGTTTGTGCTCCTATGGCAGGAGGAATGGGACAGGTTCCAGCACACTCTAGTGCCTGTTTTGGGAGGAGGGAGGTAGCCTGAAAGGCCCTGTGCTCTCTCTACAGGCTTTAATCCTTACTGGGGGGAGACTCTGCAGTTCACCCTCGGGGTCCCAGAGTTGGCCTTGGTCCGATTTGTAGTGGAAGACTATGACATCACCTCCTTCAATGATTTCGTGGGCCAGTTCACCCTACCCATGTGCAGCCTAAAGCAAGGTGAGGACAGTGAACTGGAGAGGGAATAAGAAGACGGGAGGGGAGAGGGCTGGAGGGGTGGTGACGTGGAAGTGATGGTATGGAAGGGGAGGAGTGCCGGGTGAGAAATAGACCCGTAGGTCTAAATCACTCAGATCATTGTCACAATGCTCAGGGCTCTCTGAACACTGGTGATTCTTTCCCAACACATTTGCTGTTGGGTGTCAGTCCTCCTACTATGCTGGGACAGGGTGGTTTGGGTGTCAGTCCTCCTACTATGTTGGCACAGGGTGGCTTGGGTGTCAGTCCTCCTACT